TTTGATGGACCAAGAATTCCTGATGGTAACCTTAAACACCACTCAAAAAATTACTTTGCCCAATAAACTGCAGGGAGCAGTTTGGAGAAGACCTATGCCCATGTTCCCAAATTTTGTTTATAAATGTTTCTTTACATTTAAAGGCAGATATGCTATAGATTTGCATAGGTACAGATTTTGTTTATTGATACAAATTATGGTCGATTTTGTTATATGTATTTCTGCTCTTGACTAAGGTATTGTGTTTGTATAGCTCATTTAAAAATGTAGTGTATAATTCAGAAATATAGATCAATAGATAGATAGTCATCTCTAATAGTCAAGCTTATAGTCATGTGAGTTAGGTTTTTTAGGTGTTCAGAAATGTAATTCAGACAGGTAGGTATTCTTCAAATATGTCAAAGATTACAGAATATGACATTTAAAATGTTTAAAGAAGTTAGGACTTTTTTGTGACAGTGAGACACATATTCTCCTGTCAGCACCAGTCTACTTCAAGAGGATGATGGGCATGGAGGAGGCTCCTTATGCAGTTTGTTAGACAGTTGGGCAAGAAACTGCTCTTACCTGGACTACTTGATGAACTGGGCATGCAGGACCTGCAGAGAAATGACTGCTGAACTTGCCTAAAGGTGAGTCGATCCTTCAGGATTCCTGCTTTATAAAAGTCTGCCAGACATTCTGCAGGACACAGAAAAAATGTGACTGATAAACTGTCAATATAGGTGGAACTGTATTTGAAATTTCCTACTTCATGGAAAAGTCTGCTGGATTCTATGGGCCAGTAAACCCAAGATGGATGCCCCAATGATACAGAAAAACTTTGGATGACCTTCCAGGCAGTTAGAAGTCTCTGTCAATTCTAGAGTTTTGAAAAATGCTTACAATGCACTTCCTGTTTATTTAGGTAATATTATATCCTTCTGGAGTCTTTGATGGAGTTGAAGAATTTATAGCTATAGTTATAGTTTCCTTAGTAGATATAAATATTATAACTGTAATTCCTTTTTTTTTTTTTTTTTGGCTTTTCGAGACAGGGTTTCTCTGTGGTTTTGGAGCCTGTCCTGGAACTAGCTCTTGTAGACCAGGCTGGTCTCGAACTCACAGAGATCCGCCTGCCTCTGCCTCCCAAGTGCTGGGATTAAAGGCGTGCGCCACCACCGCCCGGCCTGCAACTGTAATTCTTGCTTAACACTTGTTTGCTATAGGTAATTTTACTGTGTTAACATTAAAACCTTCCTTTTCATTTAAACAGAAAAGAGGGGGTAATATAGGATTCCCCTCTGTATGCTGTGAATATCATTGGTTAATAAAGAAACTTTCTTGGGCCTGCACAGGAAATAAAGGTAGGTGGAGAAAACTAAAGAGACTGCTGGGAGAAAGAAGGAGGAGTTAGGGAGAAGCCAAAGACCTGGCACCAAAGATAGATGTGTTGAAGCTCTGCTAGTAGGCCATGACCTTGTGGTGATGCACAGATTAATGGAGGTGTGTTAAATTAAGATGTGAGAGTTAATAAATAAGAAGTTAGAGCTAATAGGCCAAGCAGTGATTTAAATAATATAGTTTCTGTGTGATTATTTCATGTGAGCTGCTGAACAGCCAGGAAATAAACAAGTGGCCTTCCTATTACATTTCACTTTGTGAGTGTTGAATCCCTCTTCTCCAGGAAGAAGAGTGGGCTTATTGGCCCAATTTTCTGCACCTTCACTGAAGGGTCTTTTGGATGTATGTATACTTGTCTTCTGTTTATTCTTAGCACCAGCATAACTACAGTTTCTGCTGCTAAGATATCATAGTATTTTGCAACATAGTTAGTTGCCCAGTATGTGATCAGGAGTTAGTTTACCCATTATTTCTGAGGATTCTTTCTTTCAATACTATCTACCTTTCTCAATAATAGGAATAGAAAATGAAATAATATTTTTAGAATATGTGTCTATACAGAAACAGCTTAATGTAAAACCGTACTTCTAGGTCACTATTGCCTTTTCTCTGGCAGGTTGTACTGGCAGACATCCAAAACATCTTAGGACAAAGTTATTATAATAGCTAAGCAGGATATCTCAGTCACCAAGACCCAGAATATTTCTTAACTAACATTTGAATGCTTAATATATTTTGAAAGAGCCAAGACCATTCCAGGCCGTGGCCTACTTTTTCCTACCTTAGGATATTAGCCCCCTCTTCTCCTTAGTGGCAGTCAGGGACAGGGTTTCTTGCTTCTAGTAATGGCATGCCACTATAAGTCTCTGATAAATCATCCTGTATATGTCCTAGATCTGTTTGCTTCTTCCTTTGCTCATTTGACACCTTCTTTGACTCATGTTCAGTATGAAACAAAGATGCCATCATTTCTAACATCCTTAACCTGATATTACCCTGCTCCTTTGAATTTACTATGACGCAACAGCAATCTCACAGCCAAGCTGACACCCCTTGTTCTTACACTCAGATCCCTGCAAGAAGCATATCTGTTGTCCTTGTCTCTCTTGCTCTGAATCTCCTCAGAACCTCCTGCTTTTTTCTCCATGTTTTTTTTTTACTTTACTTAATTCTTCACAATACTTTTGCATATCTTCCTACAAAAAGAGAACTATTTTGTGCATTTCCTTCCTTTTAGTATTTTCATTGGTTCTCCAAAGCCCAGTTAGACTGTTAAGCTTTTTATTACCTAACGTGCGTGGTGAATCTCTAAGATGGGAGCCCACCCCTCAGATTTAGAAGTTTATTTGTTCACGAACAATTTATTAAATTGAATCTTCTTATCAATGATGTCAGAGGTATGCAAAGGTGGTACTGCCCAACATTCGTGTCTCAACCTTTTAGAGCACATACTCAAAATCTGTTGGAAGCTCCTATCCTAAATGTTAGATTCATGCTCAGGTTTAAGTAACTTCTTTCCACAAAGTTCCTCTTTGGCAGATTTTATTATTGACTTCAAAAACATTTCTTGCTACTATTTTCCCACACTTCCATCCAATTTCTTCAACTACAGTGACCAAATGATTCCTTAAGAAAAACCTAGATGTTTTTTGAGCTGTTTGGACCTTGCATCTTCTGAGTAATTTACGTAGTTTGGGAGTTTAAAAGGAAAAACTGAACTGTGTCTGTGGCTCTCAAAACATTGCTAAGGGAGACTCTGTCTCTACTTTTGAAAATAAACACCATATGGACAGGCATACTCATGTTTCATTTCTTGTATCTTCTTTTTTGGTGTATATATAGAGATGGTATGATTGTGTATATGAATTTTTACTACAGCATATGCTCCATGTGCCATGGAATCCCCCTGCTCTCTCCAGCCCTCAAGGACTGTGATGCCTCTAAACTCATAACACAATATTATGCTAACAAGGTCATGCCTTTGCATTCTATGCTGAAATAAATGGGACTGTGTTTCCAAGTGATATTTAAGGTCCTTAAATTCTCTAAAAGCCAATGTCTGTGTGAAAACGCAAAGCAGAGAGAGGGATTTGTGGTGTTTCATCTAGAATACACTTAGTCATTATTCACAGATGATCCCTGAACCATTGCCTGCTCCTATCTCAGGCTGATTTCAGTGAAAGGAAAGCTGTTTTGCATCGCATTCACATCTCTGGGAAGAGCACCCAGGTACTGACATTCCAATTGTTTTATGAATGTGCCAAAGAAATGGCAGGATGCCAATGACGGCATCCACATGGTTGTTTGAAACAACACCCCAGATATAAAAAGAAAGCAAAATCCCTCACAGATTGCAATGTGTACAATTTTGGCCGTTTTGCACATCCTCTGCAGCTGTGCATTCATGATGCTATATTTAAGCAAAAATCTTTGTAAGAATTTGTCGAGAGGAGATGGAAGTTTGGCCGCCATTTTAGCGATCTGGCTGTAGTAGTTGCCAAGAGTGTCTTCTTCCAGACTGAGCTATGCCTGTCTGGGAATGAGCTAAAAGCAGGATGGCAATGGACCTGGAAATTAAACTTTTCATAGATGGTAGCACTCCTTCAAAAAATTTCAAGAAACGATTGTTCTCTTTAGGAAAGAGATTACTGTATTTGTCTGATGCTTTTAGCTAAAAAGGGCTTACCAACTGGAAATTGTAATCAGTTAGGAAAGAGAAAGACATTAGAAACACTGTGTTCAGATTTGACACATCTTATACCTACTATCATCTTCACACTGAAGAAAGAGGAAAAAAAAGTAACACACAGGAAGAAATTCACTATGGGAAACAGGAGACTACTGCCTCATCATCAGAGGCCCCACTGATTTTATATTGTTGAGAGAAATACTTTAGAGCAATCCTGTCCAATAAAGACAGAAAATAAGATATCCTGTGGATTTATTCACTGCTGAACGAAGAAATGTGAAACTTGACACTTGGAAGAGATAAAAGTCTTTGAAATTTTTGGAAATGCCTTGTTTTAGAAAGCACAGAAACAGCCCATTTGAATAAACAACTGCTTAGAATCCAGGGAGTTGTCTCAAGTAGGAAAAGAGAAATCGCTCAAGCTAACGCCATGGCTTCCTGCAGGAAGATGCTGTGCCTACTGTACCAAGGCTTAGAGATCCTTCAATGCTGACACTGAAGAGTACCATCATCTCCCAGAATCCTTTGAAGCAAAAGCTATATTTCTCTACATCTTATTGGCCTATTACATATTAAAACATTTGCATATTTTTTCAAGATAGAGATGATCATGAGATGAATTGAGGATATCAATGAATTTTAAAATTACATCCAAACTAATTTCCCCTGATTCTCCTCCAATTCATAATCATTATTGTCAGTAAATTGATCACACCACCTTCTTAAAGTTCTAGCTTGGAATTTGAAGGGCTGCTTTTTCCCTGTTTTTTTTTTTTTTTTTTTTTTTTTTTTTTTTTTTTTTTTTTTTTTTTTTTTGCTCAGCTAGCACATTTATTAACATTAAACACAAGACCTTTTTCCCAGACACCAGTAGGCCACTGCCCACAGTCTCGGGCCCCCCTCACTGCTTGATTCCTGCAACACATCCTCATGCCTTGGCAACCTTCTGAGTCTCTCCGGGAGCTGTGAGCTGCTGGTACTTCTGGCTCATCATTTCCATGACTGCTTGTTTTATGGCATGCTTCTCCTGTAGGGCTGGCTGGTTTTTCTCCATCTGCTTGGTAAGAAAGTCTATCTTCCTTTTGAAGAAGTCCTTGGCATCTTCAGCTGTCTTCACATAGTAGCCAGTTCCCACATCTAGGAGCACATGCTCCATATCACGGAGCTTCCCAGGGGCACACATGGAACTCATCAGTGGGATCAGTAATTCTTTTTCCTTGTTGCTCTTGTTCAGCACATTCAGACAATTATTGGCTTCCACATACTGGGTCTGCACCACCTTGAGCTGAGCAATAGATGTGGGCAAAAGCTCCAAGGTAAAGAATTTTTGGTATAACTGGTGTTAAACTTTGCCATGGTTACACTTCTTTTCAAAGCTTTCCCTCATATATTTCTTGTATAAATAAACTTTTATGGTTTTAGATATAAAGAAAAGTGGACAACAGAGGGCCTATAATTATGATATGAGCACACATACCCATATGCCTTATAATTAATATTATAATGAATAATGAAATGTCAGAGTTAATAAGGCAATTGTTATACTCACCATAATTAAAATTATATTTTGCTTAGATTTTTGTATTTGTACAAATTTCCTGTTTCTATCTAGACCTCTCATTCAAGGATCATTTGAATTTAGTCATACTGTGCTTATAACTTCCTCTAGGCTGTCATAATCTCTCAAACCAGCTATTCGTAGTATATTCTTTTTTTTTTATTGAGAAAAAAATTTCCGCCTCCTCCCAGCCTCCCATTCCTCCCCCCTCCCCCCACTCCTCTCCCCTCCCCCCACTCCTCTCCCCCTCCCTCCACTCCTCTCCCCCTCCCTCTCCAGTCTGAAGAGCAGTCAGGGTTCCCTACCCTGTGGAAAGTCCAAAGTCCTCCCCCCTCCATCCTGGTCTAGGAAGGAGAACATCCAAACTGGCTAGGCTCCCACAAAGCCAGGACATTACGTAGGATCAAAACCCAGTGCCGTTGTCCTTGGCTTCTCAGCAGCCCTCATTGTCCGCCATATTCAGAGAGTCCGGTTTTATCCCATGCTTTTTCAGTCACAGTCCAGCTGGCCTTGGTGAGCTCCAATAGATCAGCCCCACTGTCTCCGTGGGTGGGTGCACCCCTTGTGGTCCTGACTTCTTTGTTCATGTTCTCCCTCCTTCTGTTCCTCATTGGGACCTTGGGAGCTCCAGTGTGGGTCTCTGTCTCTATCTCCATCCATCGCCAGATGAAGGTTCTATGGTGATATGCAAAATATTCATCAGTATGGCTATAGGATAGGATCATTTCAGGTTCCCTATCCTCAGCTGCCCCAGGAACTAACTGGGGACCTCGCCTTGATGGGGAGAACTTGGGGCGACGGGATGATTGGGATAAAGGAAGGTTGGATAGGGGAGCAGGGAAGCACATATCTTAATTAAGAGAGCCATTTTATGGTCATAGTATATTCTTAAGCTTAGCTTTTTTCTTATTTTTTTTAATTGTTTGTCTGGTTTTTTGTTTGTTTGTTTGTTTGTTTGTTGTCTTTCTTAGAGTGGGTTTCTGCCCATTGAAATGGTCACAGAGATAAAGGCCCATTCATTCCCACTCTCTCCGGTCAAGGATATGCAATATCACGGGTACTTTTCTAACACTAACTTTGATCACCAAGCTAAAGCCACATTAATCGGATACCCTCTCTCTCTTATGCTACTGCTTGTTCCACTTTTCCCTTTCTCTCATTTCAGTCTATACTTTTGAGAAGGAAAGCACAGTGTGTAGTGCAAACTTCCTGGATGGGAAGTGTGTTCCATCTCCTTGATGATGTGTAGTTTAATACAGCATTTATATAACTTATTTGGAATTCCTTTCCATGTGAAATTTGCCTGTTTTTCCTTGTAGACCAGGCTGGTCTTGAACTCATAGAGAACGGCCTGCCTCTGCCTCCCAAGTACTGCAACTAAAGGCATCCACCATCACTGCCCAGCTTAGAATTAGTTTTAATTGAAAGTAAAGTTATTTAAAAAGTCAGAGAATTCCAGTGTGAAATAAATGATTTAACAGCAAAAATAAACTGTGTTATTAATATATTAAATGACAACATTGAAGCATGTTGGGAGAATCTTAACTTAAGTACTTTGAAAATTAATGAAGGTTTTAATACCAAACAAAAGTAGGAACATTTAAGCACTATACTGTGATAGTTAAAAATACTTCCTATGAATGTAAGGGTTAAAGCTTTAGAAAATGATTTGTCTTAATTAAACAATTAGGATGGATAGTGGTAGGAAGTCAGTGTCTCACTATTAAAGTGAGGGACTCAAGACATATAATGAAAGGTTTGAGTGTTGGGGCTGGAGATTACAGTGTAAGTATAGTTAGCTTAGTGTCGACAGAAATAGGTGTATTTACAACCATGAAAAGGCACATCTATGTACATTCGTTGTGCCTACACACCCTGTGTCTGGAGAAGCCCTGTTAAAATGACCCCTCAGTCAGCACACGCATCACCCAGACATTCCTATATAAAAATATCTAAGTCAACACATTCATCACCCAGATATTGTTTCCTAAAGAAAATCTCTAAGACTTCTGGGGGCAATGGTGAGTTATCAATTTCAATTTGGGGCATGACTGTACCTGATGAATACAAAGACCTTTTAGTAGCCAAAATAGAGAGTTGTTCAATCAAAACTGTGATGTGAAGATATAGAGAACAGACAGAGGCCATGAGCGCAAAATGACAAGGTTCAAATTATGGCTCCAGTTCTTACATATCACCCTGAATCAATTGCTCCGTCTATCTTTGGTTATTTTTCATATTTTAATAGATCATATTTTCAATATTCCATCAAAATCTTGGAAAATGGTATGGGATCAGAAATATTAATCTGTAATCCCAGGCACATGTGAAACATTAAAAATCTTTGAAATGTCATTAAAAGTTTATTTGCTTTTATACACTCAGCAATATTAGCTGTTTTCACTTTCTAAATGAAAAGTTATTTTTATCAATCCCAGAAACGACATTTTCAAAGTGCATGGAATTGATGATAGAAATACCAAATCAATTTACTAAAATTTATTTATGCACACAAATTTTCATTTTCAAATATTTACAGTTTATGTTAATATACATTTAGATAAATGCTAAATCAGTTGTTATGGGTCTCTTTGATTTTTACAAATGATTGAATATCATATTTGATTTTAATATGGGTATTTATTCTAAATGTGGCACCATAATTTTGGACTGTGATTATCTGGTGTCACAGCTGACCAATTCTATTATTCCTGTGAAAAATTCTGTTAGAATGTTTGCTTGATGTTGGATGGGAAAGAAATAACAGAAAGTTGACTGCAATTTAAAGCTACAAACAGTTGTACTGGATTTGAATGAACTCAGATTTTTCTAGACATCTCGAGAATGTAAAATAGTCATTCATGTCACTGAAAAAGGACACCAAGCAGTGGCTGGTGATAGAAGAAGCCAGAGAATGAGGGACACTGATCTTGTGAACACCACTGCACATTCCAAAATGCTCACCGCATTCTTTAAGATAGAAGACATATTTCAAAACTTACATGAAGTATTGAACAAATGAGGTTGGAAAGTATTCTTTACTTTGCCCATCCCAATTCACATGGCCAGTCCAAAAGCCTCATTTTTAGAAACTTTCTGGTTGAACAGAGGCAGTGGTTGATTTTTAAATTTATTTTTACAGTTTCATGAATTTCTATTACCTTTTTTATTCATTTTAAATCCCCATCCTCCTCCCTCATCACCTCATTTCTGTAAAACTGACTCCCTTTTCTTGTCTGTTTTAATATGTGCATCATAGTGTCACCACTGTGGATATATGTATTAGTATATTTAGTCAAGATCTTAAGCTAATACCAGTTGCTTTCTACATTTTAATATAGCATCATTTATTTTTCCTAATATAAAAAACACTTCAATATTCTTGTTGATTGTTTTATTTTGAGACAGTGTCTCTCTGCATAGCCTTGGATGACCTGGATCTCACTGTGTAGGTCAGGCAGACCTCAAACTCACAGATACCTATTGCTGAGATTAAAGTTGTGTGCCACAACTTGTGGCCCAATACATGACCCCTTCAATTCAACTGAGGTGAACTGTCACTTCGCTGTATAGCTTCTTGGCAATGGAGGACAAAATCATTGATTTAAATGTGAGGTATTTGAGAAGATGAATAGCAGACATGTATCCGATCCAGACTGAAAACAAGTGTATCAGTTACTTTTATTGCTGGTACACCTACTGAAACAACCTAAGGGACAACCTCAAAGAAGTTTACTATAGTAGCAGTTTCAGGGACTGCAGACTGCCATAGCAGAAAAGCACCTGGGACAGCTCTGGCCATACCATGGTGAGCCACGTAGCAGAATGGAGGGCCAGCACTAACTTTTTCGTCCTCTCACCAAGTTTTCAAATTCTAGACAAGGTCCCAGCTACTGTGCTCAGGCTGGGTCGCTTCCCTTCAGTGTTCTCTGGAAACATTCTCCCCAACCCAGAGTCTAAATGTAGTGGGAATGACAATGGAAATTGTCATATAACTACTGTGGAAGACAAAGTATCCTATGGGAGAGATTTGAGTTCAACATATTTTCTGTGATGATTGGAGAGTCAATTGCTCTTTTCACTGGCTGGTTCAAAGTGTTTGTTACTACCTGAGGTTCCTTGGGTCTTAATTCATGAAGTAGGAATAAAGTGTTCTATTCTTACTTGGTGCATACACATGTAGACCTGTAGCTCGCGGTTCCAAGTTTAAAGTGGGAATGTTTCCTTAGCTCAGTACTTGTGTCATATTTGTCTCTGAGCAGAGAGAGAAAACAAACATAATAAATGTGTACCATCTTCTCCAGGACTCTAATGATACTTTTTATCAACTTGAAATGTGAGTAAAGGTAAAAAAAAAAAAAAAAAAAAAGAGTTGCGGGATGTTCATATTTGTAGCTTCTCTTGTGACTAAAAATAAGGATAGGAGTAGTCTATACATCCAGGGGCACTCACCTGTGCCTCCATCCTGTCTAGCACAGCACCTGCTGGGCCCATTTCAGTGGCCTAGCATCACTTATGTGGTGTTTTATGAGAATAGGTCACCCTGTTGTTGTAAGGGTTGATCAATGCCTGTTTCTCTTAGCAACCTGAGTTTCTATGAAGCATTGCCCAAAGCATAGTAAAGCACACATTTAAAACCGGCCCTGCATTTCACAAAGCATAGGAAAATTCAGACATTGGAGGCAAAGAAATGAAAGTATGAGATTCCAAAATATTTACTTTCAAGGACAGTTGATCTCTGCACCACGTAAAAAAATGTTGAAAATTAACGAGTGTGTCAATAAAACGAAAATTCCTAGCTAGGGTCCTGCGAAGAGACACCATGACCACAGAAACTCACATAAAGGAAAACATTTAATTAGGACTGACTTAGAGTTTCAGAGGTTAGTCCATCATCTCTGTCGTGGGACCATGGCAGCAGGCATGAAGTGGTGCTGTCGAGGCAGCTGAGAGTTCTATGTCCATATCAGCAGGCAGCAGAAAGTGAATGCTACTCTAGATCTGGCTTGAGCATTTTCCACCTCAAAACCCACCTCCCAGTGATGAATCTTTTCCAGCAAAGTCTTACCTTCTAATAGTGCCACTTCCTATGGTACTATGGGGCTATTTTTATTCAAACCACCACACCAACACTATCTTATCTCAGATTTTCTTTCATATGATACATATCTCCACTGGTTTGGGTATAACTATTATGTAGCTTCCCATCTTATTTTGTGTTCTGTTGAATGTTTAAATTTGTGCTACAAGATTTCCTTGTTAGCAGGCTTAGCCAGCTGTATTGGATTATACTTGTAATCCCAGCACATGGGAGGCTGAGGAAGAAGAATTACTGTGAGTTTGAAGCCAGCCTGAGCTTCATAGTGATTCCAAGGCCAGCCAGAGCTAAATCACAAGACCCTGTCTCATATTAAAAAAAATGATTAAAAAACCCCAGGAAATATACTGTTTTGTAGCAATTTTAATGAGAAAATTTTTTACTGATGCTATGCACAATTTTTGTAATAAAGAATTGGAATGTTATAAAATATTTGAAATGCATCAAACATTTTACAAAATTATTACTCATAAATATTTTATATTGTCTTCATTTTCTGTGTTTGCTATTCCATTTGGATTTGTCATGAGAAATTCAAGACACAAAAGTCAGGAGGCAAAAACAAATAATGTTGTTAATAAAAAATGTTTTGTGAGTTGGATAGATGGCTGAAGCACAGTACTTTCTACATAAGCATGAAGATCAGAGTGTGACTGTAACACCCCTTCAAAACCAGGCATGGTCCACCTGTGTCTGTATCTGTAGCAGTGAGCAGAGCCAGAAGCAGGAGAATGTCTAGGACTTGCTAGCTGCCAACCTAAGCCAAAAACCATAAGTTCCTGTTTGGTGTCAGTCCGTGCCTCAAAGGACTAAGTTGGAGAGTGACAGAGGATATCCGCCTCTCGCCTCTTCATGTGCACACAGATACATACAGACACACAGACATATGCATCCAACACAGAGATACTCACATGTACATTCACCACACACACACACACATACACACACACATGCATACACCGTACACACATTTGCATACCACACCCATGCACAAGTTGTTTAAGAAGCAGAGTAACTCATCCTCTTCTATTTTATTTTACTATTTTTTTTAACAGAAAACTAAAGCGCCTCAAGAAGACTTAAGAGATTATATTTCCCAGAGATACCTCAGAGGCCAAGTGAAAGAAAGGAAGACAAATTGTTCTCAGACCACTTTTGTGTAGTCATGATATGGCAGGTGATATGCATGATCACAGGAGGCAAGCTTTTTTTAGTTTGTCACCTTATAATTTAGAGTTCATGAACAGTTCTTCTCATACTGGCTTGCCCTGAGTTCTACCAAAATTTCTGGCTTAAATATCTTTTAAGAAATTGGTGAACTAGTAAATCTAGTATCTACTGAGAACTATAAAGTTGTAGGTAAGAATTGTGCATAGGTGTGTTGAATATTTTTTTTCTCTTCAAATATTTCTGTTTAGGACTGTTAATTCCCCCTTGATTCTTTTTTATCTATCTTTCAGGTTGAATTAATAATAATTTAAATACAATAATATTTATCATTTAAATATATAGTGCAGTAGGAATTAATAACTAGGTAGTCATGTACCTTCTCTCACAATGATGATTTAGGGTGTTTTTACAGTTCCTACAGAGTTGCCTTTCATTCTTTGTCAACACCCCTACATCCACCTTCACCCAACCAGTTCATCTATTTGCAGTTGGACAGTACAGCCTTGCTTTTGCAGAATGCCATGCAAAGAGCATCTTGGAGGCTTTTGACTGTTCTGTTTTTTCCCCTCAGCCTATGCTGTGAAGATTTGAATATTGAACTGCAGGTAACATCTGTTCCTTTTTCTTTCTTAGTACCTTCTCATGGATGGGTATGTAATGTAACTGTGTGGCCATTTGCTCCCTAGCAGGAATTTGGGAGGTTTCAAGTTGAGAATGCTGAAATTACAGCTGGTATAAGACTAAAAGTCTGTTTCTCAGAGTTATCTATGTTTTGACTTCTTTTAGACACATCTAGAATTTTTTTCTGTCTTTTTTTTATAAATTTATTTATTTATTAAAGATTTCTGTCTCTTCCCCGCCACCGCCTCCCATTTCCCTCCCCCTCTCCCAATCAACCCAAAGAGCAATCAGGGTTCCTTACCCTGTGGGAAGACAAAGGAACCCCCACCTCCATCCAGGTCCAGTAAGGTGAACATCCAAACTGTAGAGAAGCTAAATAAGGAGAACCCAAAGAAAAACATATAGGCATCCTCCTGAATATTAACCTTCATCAGGCGATGAAAGGAGACAGAGATAGAGACCCACATTGGAGCACCAGACAGAAATCTCAAGGTCCAAATCAGGAGCAGAAGGAGAGAGAGTACGAGCAAGGAACTCAGGACCGCAAGGGGTGCACCCACACACTGAGACAATGGGGATGTTCTACTGGGAACTCACCAAGGCCAGCTGGCCTGGGTCTGAAAAAGCCTGGGATAAAACCGGACTCGCTGAACATAACGGACAATGAGGACTACTGAGAACTCAAGAAAAATGGCAATGGGTTTCTGATCCTACTAGACACATCTAGATTTAAAGATGTAGGATTTTACAAGAAAGTCTTTATGTAAATTGTAAGAAACTGCCAACAAGATTGCCAAGATTAGTTCTAGCATTTTGGGTGTTCCTCTTGTAAGTATTGAGTTTTGGTGCTAGCAATTCTTACATGTATTTGTTTATATTTTCCTGTACATTTTAATGGCGTTTTTTTAAATATTTTCATGTGATTTTTTTGCAATGGCAAATAGTTTTTGAAGTTATTATTCAGATACTCTGTCAATCATCATTGAATGTTGCCATGGCTTTTATTTAAAGTCCTAAATTGATGTAATTTTACATATAGTATCCCAGTTTGTATAAGATTCTTTTATTACTAGTATAGTTCAAAGTGCAAATATTTTTATTCACAATGATATTGTTTACCACAGTGCTTTGCAGTTTTTTATATGATACTTTAATGTTCAGATAGATTTTTTTCTGTGTTGATATCATCAGTATAATAGGTTAATTTTCATAACTTGAAATAGCTTTATGTCTTCAGAAAAAGCCATGATAGATTATGGTGTATTGGTATTAGGAGACCTTACTGAGGGGCAACATATGTGGACATTTTGTTAAGAATTATTTTGTCTGTGTTAATATGTGATATTAATCTTGTTTTATTCTTGTCTGAATTGTTATCAGCATGATGCTTCTCTAACAAAGTGAGTTGTGAAATCTTTTTCTTTTTCTGTATCCTGGGAAAGATTTGTGAAATAAAACTGTTTCAAATTCAACACCAAAACAGCCCTTCCTAGAGTCTTTCCTTGTGGGAAAGTTAAGAAAAAAATTCAGTTACAATAACACATAGAACTAAGATCAAGTTACTGTTTCTTTTCCTTGATTAAGCTTGCATTTGTTAAGTTTTCCAAGTTGTTCAGTTGTTGTTACACACCATTTTCCAGAATATTCCAGACCTACTCCACTAATTTCTGTGGCCTGCCTTCTCATTTCTTGATCTTGCTATTTTGTGTCTTCTTTCCTTTGGTTTGGTTAACCTAGTTTAACATTAAAACCTTTTACTGGTCTTAGAAAGTTAGTTTTTGTTCACTGATTTGTCTTTTAGTTGTTTTATGTTTCATTGCTACATTTTATTTTATCTTTGCAACTTTTTGCTCATCTGGCTTTCACTGTTTACTGAAGAAGCTGGCATAGAAGCATGGACTTAGCTCAAAGACACAGACAACATGCATAATGTAGGGAGATGTTACCTCGAAAAAAATCATAAACAGATAACTAATCACAATAACTAATGCTATATTTTCCTCTCTGAACAGATAATCTGCTGTAGTTCATGAACTCTGAAATATTTTAAATCTATTTTATTCAAAATATTTATTAATTCATGAACTTTGAAGTATTTTTATATTTATTTTATGCAAAATATTTAATAATTGCCCTTTCTGCTTCTGAAGAAATTACTAATTTACTAAAATATTGTTTTCTTTACAAGTATTTTCAGATTTTCTATGTACTCTAGTTTCTGATTTAATTCTGTTCTACTAGAGAATACATCTCCGTTGGTTTATGCTCTTTAAATTTGTTGAATTTGTGTCTTATTGACATGAAAAAATATATTTAAAAAAGATGTTTATGTCCACTGATAAGGTTATTTATATATGCTATTTTAACGCATTTTTAAAATTTTACAAACAGGAAATCTGTTTATAACCATGGATATATCTATATATATTTTTGATCTGATCCAATTTTTTATTTTGTATCTGAAGCCTTATTATGAATCATGATATGTGCTCAGAAATTCTTTCAGCCTATGTAATATTCATCTTATTTCTGCAGTAATATTGATTCATCTAATTTATATGTCTTCTGATATTGA